AGGCAAATGCACAGGAAAATTCAGACTATATCCGTTTTTTTTGTTTTTTTTTCTCAGTTCTCTCCCTTTCGGTTTCGCTACGACTCATGAATGAGAATGCAAATGGAATATATGCATTCTTGTGCTGCTCGCACTGTAACGATAAACTGAAGTCAAGTTATGACAGTGTAGAGACACAACAGCAATAACATATAAAACATCATTCAAAGAAAATATTCACTTAAGGATCAGGATCCAGATATATAAATACCTACAGATTTAGTTACTGTTCTTTTAGGTGTCAAAACATCTGCTCTTCATATTCTTAGACATGACAATATCCAGATAAGTCACTTTAACCTTCACATGGATTTTTTTATTACATCCATCCATCCATCCATCCATCAAATTCATAAGTTTGGGATTAGTAATTTTTAAAAAAATGTTTTTTATTACTTTATCAATGCTGCATTTTTTAAAATTAAAAATACAGGGGAAAAAAACTGTAATATTGTGAAATAGTACTACAATTTTAAACAAGTTTTCTATTTTAATGTGCTTTAAAATATAATATATTTCTGTAATGCAAAGCTTAATTTTCATCAGCCATTACTCCAGTTTTCAGTGTCACATGATCCTTCAGAAATATATATTTTTAACATTTTATTCATCAAAGAATCCTGAAAAAAAGTATCACAGGTTTAAAAATAAATAATTAAAACAATAAGCAGCACAACTGTTTGCAACATTTATAATAAATCAGCATATTAGAATGATTTCTGAAGGATCATGTGACACTGAAGACTGGAGAAATTATGCTGAAAATTCAGCTTTGCATCATAGGAATAAATTATATTTTAAAGTATATTAAATAGAAAAACATTATTTAAATAGCAATATTTCACTATTTTACTGTTTTTTTTTCTTCTTTTTGATCAAATAAAGGCAGGCTTGATGAGCATAAAAACTTTAAAAAACATTAACAAACATCTCAAACGTTTGAACAGCAGTGTACAACTGCTCAAAAAAATGAAATGTTTTACATATGCCTAAAAACAAAACAAAGGTCACATCTAAAATCAAATCTGACAAAGAAACAATATCTATCAGTATTCATATCAGAAATGTGCCTGACAAAAAACAGACTGGGATCTATTATAGCATCTTGTTCATTCTTAAGACACTAAAAACTTTAAAATTTTATAATTATTATTATCTCAACCATGAGCACCATGTTTTACCTTGTGTAAACAGAAATAATTAAATTGGCTGATGTGTAATCAGGAAATAATGAATGAGGTTTGGTAAATGTGTAGTTCTAATGTTAACTTACAAGAAATACATAATACAAAACACATTTATTCGTTCAAACACTTGCGATACAGAACTGTTAAGGCAGCAACATACTGACAGGATTTGACAGCAAAAATTTTCCTGTTTCAAGATCTCATTCTGTTATACAATAAGAACAAACAGTGCACATTGTTTTCAGCAAGAGTATATCAAGAGAGATAATCTGCAACAGAAAATGTGATTGTACATGACGTGCCACTCCTGCTTCTGATGTGAACACTCCATTTGTTAGCATGGGTGCTGGAAAATACAGGCTGCTCAGATGCTGCTGACACTTGCAGTGTGCAACAGACCCTTTAGTTTGCCACTGTTCCTCCTATATATGGAGCTTGAGTTCTTATCCTGCGAATTATGAAACAGGCAATAAACACGGCAAATAATAGAATGAATATAGTACAAACACAGATCAATACTATCGTTATCCAGTCTGATTGTGTTCCTGGTTCTTGGTTTTCTTGTTTAGTAGATTTGTTTCCTTTTTCTGCTGTTGAATCTGCAACAAAACAAATGTTCAGAGAGAGACAGAAAGAGAGAGAAAACATTACTGCACTGTGATAACAGACAACAGATCTGTCTAGAATTCATACTGTATATGAATCATACTGCATTCAGACTGGAATCCAGGCTGTTTTTAAAGGTGCTGTATGTAAGTTTTTGACTGCACTAATGCATAGAAATACCATAATATTTTTGCAGATATTTAAGAAATATGCTAAGTTCACACATATGTTTCTCTGAAAAACAATGCTACAGCCAGTTATTCCGCTTTGAAATGTGTGTTCCATGTCAGAATGTCTGTTTTTGTTTTGGGCTTTGTGATTCAGCCCACTCACAGTTTATCCAATAGTATTTTGACAGCCAAGGTTGCCAATTGGTCGAAAACACAGCATAATACAGCCATGGGAGCAAACGAACTGGATCAAAGATCACAGATTCTGCCCCACCTAAAAAGCCTTGGCATCCATCTAAAAAGCTCTCTGACCAGTGGCAAATCAACTCATCAACATACGTCGCCTTCCATTGTCAATTGCACTTGTTCCTGTTGCGTTTCCTCAATCTGCCAACCCACGTGAGTGTTGAGTCTGAGGAGGAGGGGACGGGAGAAACAAATCTCTCCAATATTTTTAATTTGGGCTGAAGTACACATTTCAACCGCTAGCTGTCAATGTTACATACTGCACCTTTAAAACTTCAAACATAAATGAACTATTTTTACGCACCATTAATGAACAGCCATACAGTCTCCTGTTTAGAATCAGATGAGTGTGTGATGAAGCAGTTGAACTCTCCTGCATCAGTGTGATTAAGATTGATGAGTTTGAGGGAGAAGTTTCCTCTCTCATACTCCTCAGGGAAAGTTTCAGCTCTGTTCTTGTATCGTGGGTCCTGTCGCTCTACTGAATCTTTACCTTTAATTATATCATAAACGGTCTCACTGCCTTTGTCCCTCCAAAGCACATTAATATCTTGAAGTTTAAGATCATGTTCAGCTGAAGAACACGGCAGAACAACAGAACCACCAATAAAACCCTCTACTGGGACCTGCAGACACACTGAAATCACACAAACTTTAATTGTAAACACACAGTCTGGCATTTATACATGTGGTATAAAAGTAACTTTTGAATGTAGTTTGTTTTGTGCTCACCTTTGTTTATCAGCACAAAAAAGGCACAGATGAAGCAGCAACTGCAGAAAAAGAAAAAAAAAATACAAGTTCCTTTAACTTCTTTAATCTCAACCAGTATCATGACATTGTTTAAGATGAGCAGAACTGATCACCAGTGATCACAACAATTAGAAAAGCTCTAACTTGCTATGACGTCAACACTCTTACAACACTAAAAGCACAATGGAAAGTGACTGCTGATAATAATGCACATCAGCTTAGAACAATAATGAGTTTTTATACAATTAAAGAACAATAATGAATTTGCCTGCTGGTCTACATTCAAAACGAACTGATTTGAATTTCAAATGAGACGAATGCCAAGGTCATGGGATTGTGCTGCCTTCACATGCTATCTGAAACTTCCTACTTCCCACTTCTGAAGTTGTAATTCCGAGTTTGTCGTGTTCAAGTGCTTTGTTGTTGGAAAGAACAGGGGCCTGTACCATGACGGTAGATGAACAAATTCAGAGTTACAGTATAATCCGTCTTTATTGGTACCATGATGCTGATCATCAACTTTCTTTGTCAACTCAGGCCTTGATTCTGAGTTTGTGGAGCACGTGCACATGAATGAGTGATATCAGTAGCGAACAGCCAATCACATGCCTTGCAACACAAAGCAAGTGTGATTCACTTCACACGAGAGAGCCAACGAGATTCAAAACTCTTTTGTTAAAGGATAAAAGATTAAAGAATATAAGGAATTTAAACGCATTTACATTGAAGTACTTGTCCATGAAATATTACAAATAAAAGAAATTTTCTGGCTCTATTAGTGCAGTCACAAATGAACCTTCTGAAGTTAGTTTACTATAGTTAATATAGATAATATATAGCGATAGAAACTTGAACATGTAAGGTCACATGTAGCCATTTTTAAAGCGTTATCTATTGATTCTACCGCTTATTTATATTACTTATGATCTGTATACATTAATTTTCATTTAAAATAAATGCTTTATAATAATTGTTCAAATAAAAGTGCTTGTGTGTAATGGATTAATAATAATATATTCATGTTATAATTATATAAATCATGTGTAAATTGTAATTATCATTAAAGCCAGATAATTTTGTTGTAATTTTAAGTACTTTATAGTGACCTTTAATTTGTAGGAACATAGGCGCGGGAAGTGGGGGTGCTGTACCGAATACTGAAATTTTGGTACCGTGACAACACTAGGTACGGCCAAGCGGCAACCTCCCGGTCTCTCGCTTGAAGCCAATACGGAAGTGACTAAAACTGCAATTCATCGACTGACCGCTAGAGGCTGGCTCCAAAAGGGAGACTCCCCCTGTTAAAATGCC